TCTGGTTATTATTTGTGTTTTTCTCTACAAGTATATTGCTATTAGCAACATCCTTACTTTCGACATTACCATGCACTCTGCTACAGCTACCAACGCCTTAAAAAATTGACATTAACATCACATTGTAAAAGAGTGACAACCAAATTACTGTTTCTTTCTCTATTTTGTTAAATTTCAAGTTCAGTTACATAGGTTATTACTTTTTAAACATTATTAATGCCAATTGGTACGAAATTATTTTGTCAAACCGCTTTATTAACTCCATGAATACAAAAATCAGATGGCTTAAGGTAGCCAGAGCCAAGGCTTTTGTTTTCCAATGTTATCTTATTTATGTTACTGAAGCTCTTACTTCCAGATCGGTAAAACCATTTCTTTATGCTAGTTAATTTTTTAAAATAAGAGATAATACATCATATTTAAAATTACTATTCTAACATAAGCAACGTAAGAATTAAGTAAAATTACTTTTCTGTTTTGCTAGTTAATATAAAAAATCACCACAAGGTAAGTAATAACAAACTTAAATAACAAATACAAAATTATGAATCTGTTCCACATTAAAATAAGGAATGTCTATGCGTTGCGTCAATACAAAGTATAAGACAGTTTCTGTATACAGACACACACTCACATAAAAAGCTCTTATTGCAACAAAAACTACCTTTTTTGGATGAAATTAATAGTTTTTAGGTTGCAGTGTTGCAAAGCAATACAAACGTATATGTTTTTTTACAAAAAAATTTTTTTAACTATAACAAAGTACCTGTATACACTAATGTAAAAGGCAAAAATATCTAGCACAGGGATCACCCTTTAGGTAAGTGCAAGTCAGATTTCTAATTTTCTTATGAAGCATTTTAAACACAAACTTAAACTTCTTTTTAAATAACATTTAAAACTATAAGTTAATCTAAAAAATCCATCGGTTTCTTTGTTGCAGCCGGAAAATTTGATAAATAAAAATAAACATCTGAGATTTTCGAAATTGTAAATAACACTGTAAAAATGTTTTTCTGTAAATAATTTATTTTGGAGAACATGTGACATTTTATTGCGGCATTATTTATTTGAATAAACTTGCTACGTAAAAAAGAAGTTACTTTATGACATTTTTTAATATCTTTTCTGACCCATGGAAATAAATGAAAAAAAACTACAGTACAATGTTTGAATAAAAATCGAAGTGTCAAATTACGTATTAAACGGATATTTAGAAAACCATCTTTAACTTACGGAACTATTTAAAAAAATTAAAAATAATTGTAGTTTTGTAGTTTAGTTTTTTTTTTAGTAAAAATGAACGGAATGTTTGCAAAGGCAGGTATTAACAACACTATATTCTGTAGAAATAAAAGTACTTAGATTTTTCTGGAGTAATCAAGGTGTTTGTATCTAAAAATGCACATGTACGCGTGGAATATACTAAAAAAATTGTGGCATAGAAATAATGTGTCATCTCAACAAAATATAATAAAAACTAATACAAACTCGTTTTTTCGAAACAAACTTTATTTACTAATTTGACTAAAATCTCGTCTTTGAAACAATGTGTTGTTATTATATAACATAGAAATAATTATGATATTACTCATAAAATAACGCTCTAGTCAGTGTTTAATTAAATTGAACTTACACAGTACTATATAGTTAACAATACATTTAAAAACAAGATCACAAAATGTTGCATGAAATATCATAATACATATTACATTACATATGTCGTAAAATGGAATGATTTGTGTTATTTTGCACTTAATTTCTAAAGAAACTTAAATGTTCTTATACGATTCTATAGTTACTCATGTAATACACATGTTTGATGCTAATAAAAGTATAAATAGCTAGAATTTGTTCTCATTATTTTTTTTTGTAGAAAAAACGCAAATTTGATTAATGCACATTATATTCTTAAAATATCACCTTCACTGCTCGATTTTGGATTTCTTTGAGAAAAAATAACATTTGCAACTCTTTAAGAAATTATGGATTGTCCCATAAATCTTCTGGTTTGAAAATATAAGCCTTTGAAAAGATGTACGAAAATAACAATTAAAAACAAACATAGTATCAGTACTGCATTGTACACTGAGTACATTTATTTTGCATTTGTTCAAAGATATCGTATTTTCGAAGCCTTTAAGATTTTTTGACTTTTTTTTATTAAGATAAGAGATAAAATAAGTCATTGTAGAATTATTTGGCAAAGATTCATTCCATCATACTTTTTAGTACAGTTAAGCAAAAAATACCGTGTCATAGTTACTTTTAAGATTACAAAGTAAGTATAGTTTATAGATATCATTTCAGACATATTACTAGAGATAACAGTAAAAGTAATAAGACATTGTAACAATTACAGGTTTGTAATAATAATGAAGTATTTTTAAACCTAAAATGTTCTTTATAAACTGGTAATCCTTAATAAACAACTGTATGATAAGAAAAATACAAATTACTACACTGCATACTTTTTACAAAACCATTCGGTCATATAAGACAAAAAACGATACGATAACAGAATAGAAAAACATCTTAATTCTAAGTGGCTTACTTATGTAGTTTTCCGATATAGTTTTTTTCATAAAAGTATTTCTTTGAGCTTACACTAGTCTTGTTCTACAATACATTATACATTACGCATTATGCTATAATTATTATACTCGTATGTATCATACGTCATATGTGTATCTCTAAGTAGTATTATCGTTAGTTATAATTATTATTTAGGCAAATTAAAAGTTATCATAAGTAATTAAGGACAATTAAAACAAGTTTTTTTCAATGTTTTTGTTGGTTCACCTGATACTACGAAGAATAAGGTAGCAGCTTCAGCTTCTCAGAAACTTATGGTGACTTTGTTCGACTGCACTGTCAGACACCGCAACGACAGCTTCTACTTCGGCACAATTTCCTCAACGCTAACGCCCTCTGCTTTATGAGGTACTAAACTCAATTAATGTGCCTCAAAAGTTGGAAACAAGAAAAGGCCTGCCCTGGCCCTCTGTGAATAAAGATATTTATTATATGTTCTCTGTCCAAAACATAGGCTGTATTTGCTACATATAATGTAATGAGGAGAACGAGAACCACTGGTTTCTCTCTCCTTTTTTTATTTTTTTGCATATTTTTTACTAGGATCTGTAGCTATGTATAGGTCGTAGTGATCTAGACGCAAAATCGTATCCATCTCACCCAACACTAACTATGTAACTGTTTCTCGGTTTATAGACCTATCTTATAATATAGGCCAACGTACTGGAAAATAGTTACATGGTATGGCCCCCTAACAAGAAATAAACACAAGACGGTCGTAGCTGGATACCGGGGCCTGGACACATGGCTGGCCAGTATAGTAATGAACTCATTAAAATGGCCAGACTAGGCCCTGCTGTTGGTATACATGTATAGATATATAGCTTTCAAGATATGATATGTATATATATATATATATATATATGGCAGGTTGCTTGGCAGTCCCACGTCTGCCGTGTTCACGTGTGTNATATACATGCACATACACATGTATACGTATATACACAGGCATATGCTTCTATTAACCTTCCTATTGCTTACTTTAATTTGTTCCCATCGTCATTTTTATATTACATAAATAATCAGTAAAATAGTTAAATGACTTGAAAAAAAGGTTTTGAAAAGGCAAAAATTTTGAGATAGAAAATTTCTACAGTTACAAGTGGAAGAGATGAACTAATATTAGATTAATTTCCAAGTAGATTATGAAAAATTTGATGGCAGAAAAAATATTTCTGATTTTGTAGCTAGTAATGCTAATGTAACAATGAAAAATAACATTGTATATCACTAAAAAGTGTCTAATAAAGCAGCGATGAACCATGTGTATAAATTTTTTGTATCATTTGCTAAAATCGTTTGTCGTTATTTTCGATCCAGAAGCATCATTTATATTTACTTACCAAAACCTTTACTAAAGTACCTTACAGTAGAAATACGTTAGTATACACATACATATGTTTACCAGGGCCTGATCACAGCCTGAGGTGAAACTTATTACATCCTTTGATAAGTTCTACGTTGAAGCCTAGCCAGGCCTTGGCATCTACGTAAGACTCGCCTGTCCAAGCCCTGGTCATAGCCTTCGGATCAAGTACATATCAGGCAGTAACCCTTTAGGCATGTCACGTCACGTTTTGCCACTACTGTAGTCTGTTAACATATTTGGCAGCATTTTTGAGGTGCTCATTTTAAATTACACTGTACATGCACAGTTGTTGTACATACACATGTATTACACAGTTGTAAACGCATGCCTTAGATTGGTAGCAAAAAATGGTGGCAGACCGCAGAGATAGAAAAAGATGTTGTCACACTTTTAGAGAGCCACTAGCGTGAAAATTGTGTAGCTGACTTTCCACATTTAAAGTCTTATCCAGTCTTTCAAAAAGTACGAGCACGCAGGAGGCACAGGCTTTTATTTTAGATTCTATTAGTTAGATTTGTTTTGTTTCATAGTTTGTCAAGATTGTTAAAGATATGATACACATAGATAGTTATTTAAATGAAGTTGTTTGCATAAATAAATTAATCATTTGTCTCACTTGTCGTACTAGTTGTTCATATTTATAAGTTAATTTTGACGATATATGACGATGGCATACTAGAAAAAGATTTAGTAATATTTAAAATCTTGAAATAGAAGAACAGAACATAATAACAAACATAAACTGCCCTACAAACTGTGTTTTTGTATCTCTGGCACACAACTAGATACAGAATTTTGATTGTCTTCAAAATTTTAAACAGAAACATTCTTGACAAAAACATATTGCACTTGATATTTTGGATAAGCAATGCTCCTATAAGTTTTCTCATTCGAGATAATTCTCAATTGTTTCTAGCTTATTAGTTTGTTTAAGCTTCGTTACGAAAATTTTTATGAGTAATGTATTATCAACACCATTAATTTTTTTTAGTTTAAAGTTCTTAGATGCATTTATTTATTTTATCTCTGTTTTTAGGTATCTACCAGAGTCTCCACGATGGCTACTAGCCCAAGGAAAATATCAAGAAGCTCATAAGATTCTTACTTGCTTAGCACGTATAAATGGTACTCAAATGCCGCAAAAATTTAGTGAAACTATTCGTCATCACATTAATTGTCAAAGTTCTCACATCGTTGAAGATACAACAACAAATCAAAGTATAATAGCTTTATTTAAAACACCTAATATGCGACTGAAAACTTGTCTTATAACACTTAATTGGTGAGTCTTCCAATAAATTTTACTATTGTAACTACACATTTAAAAGCCACTTTATACTCTGAGAATTGTTTAAAAGCAAGTCAGTGTAAATAAAAGAGATCTTTATTCTCATGCATTGTCCCTTTATCTAAATAAATTCTTTAAAACTGAGATTTTTGATTTTTAGGGTCTCCTTGACACATAATCAGTTACAAGAAGTTGCCAGAATCTTTTTAAGATTTTGATATTCTACAGAAAAGATAACGCCTCATAATATGGATTGGTAAACGTTATTAAAACTTGCCCTAATATAGCTGTTTATAGTTAATATAAACTTTAGAAATGATCATATGAGAACACAAAAAAATAACATTTCCTTACATGTGTAAAAATATAAAGACTTTACTAACTCTCACATCTAATTAAATGTTAAAAACCAATTCTAGTTACATTTTAAGCAAGGTTGTCTGTACATAATGAGCTGAATTGGTAAAGTACTGGAATTGATTAAACACCGTGTTTATTACTTAAACTATAAATATAACATAGAAATTCATTAGTGAGGGTCTGATCCTCTGTAATCCTGCCTATCCCAATATTAAATTTATCAGGTGATGGGCTAACCACGATTATAGTGTGTCAGTTTTTTGCAGACGCTAAGCTCTCACTTATCTTCTTTCTCCTTCTGTGTCATGATGGCTTGATAAATAGAGAATAAGCAAAGATGAAACGACTGCCCCCATGCCTTAAAAATCTTATTAATTACGTCCTAAGATTTCCTTCTCTGTCAAAAAATGTAGAAAAGCTGTTGGCTTTGCCTCTAAAAAAGATCATTGGTGGACAAGGCATCCGCAGCCAAATGTAAGTGCTTCCTTTTTCTCTGTTTACGATAATGACAAGCGTGTTTCGCTTACTTGTGTCAGCATGAGATTGAATTTTTTCTTTGTTTCTTCAAAAAGTTGTTGGATGATAAGCGGGTATTAGGAACTGTATCAAGAAGAGACATGAGTTGGCATAAAAAATGTCTGGTGCTGTGGCACGGGGGTAGCTATCATAAACTTTGAGAAAAACGACTGGTTGGTGTTAAGCAGAGCACTTTCTTCCACTACTGTACCTGCTGGCGTGTGTGTATTTCTGTGTTTTACTGTGCAAGCCTGAATGTGCAGATCATGATATTCTGTCCCCTTCCCACATTCTATGTGTCTTAGCTCACCAGACAGTTTGTTAACTGCTATATGGGTGTGTCTGTGAGGTGCCTGGCATTTTCTGCTTGGTCTGACAGTAATCAGTGCACATAATGTATGTAAGCAGCTAAAACTCGTTGCTGTAGGTAAGCTTGCGTATAAAATGCATTTATACACAAACACATACACACACACATACACACACATATATATATATATATATATCATCTATGTGATGATGTTTACCTCAGATATAAGTATATGATTTTGTTGGTATATTCATCAGCCCCTCCAATCGTGCCTCGGGATAGTCATTCAGAAAGTGGGAGAAGTAGGCAAGGAGAGATAAAAGTGGAGAAGAGGAGAGGAAGTCAGAGCAACTGACGAGATGAGATAGGAGCCTTTTAGCGCTCGTACGAACTTGTGTGTGTGCCATTAAAATTAGCGTTGTACCATTTGAAAAAAATACCTTGTACAAAATCAACTAACATATTGTTATTGTTTGTAAATTTAAAACGTTAACAAAGAGATATTAACAATACTCATTAAAAAACCGTCTAAAAAAAGATAAAAGTGACGTTAGTTTAATGGGTAAAATAAATATTTCATAAAATATTTTTGAAGCCTTTAGACACTTGCTATAAATCGTATTCTTTATTATTACTCTGTAGTCTCAAAAAGTTCTGAAACCATAATACGAAAATAGTAAGTTTTTTTTTGTCACATCCATTTTGTCTGACACTCATAGCATAATACTGTTAAGTGGTCGTTGTTAAATACAATTAAACTAAGTTGTATTAAATTTTGCCGTAACATTTCCATGGACTATATACTTTCAACAAAATAAGGTCTGAATGTACTGATGAGAGGTTTGTATAAAGTACCAGTCAAAACTCAATACTCCTACACAATTTTGAACAACGAATGTCATACAAAATGTCAGTTTAAATTTTGTTAGACATCAATAGAAAATACAACAATGCGTGTGCTTATAGTTTGGACACAGAAAATTTATTCAAGTATCTCAAACAATATGTCCAAATTAATGGACTTCAAGATATGGGATTTATGGTATAATTTGGCATGCTAAGAAGACTTGCTTTTGCGCAAGCAAACTTTATGGTTAAGAAGTCAACTGTTTTATAACTTTAATTGATAAGAATTGTTACCATAGGGTAAGTAAGCTTTAATTTCTTGCTTAGCAAACACTAATGGATGTGTAGCCAAGCTAAATTTTTTTTCTTAGTTTCGTATAGTAAAAGTTCAACAAATTGTTAAGCAGCAAGCACAGATAGTAAGGGGCCTCTGATTAGTATATCTTTAACTATTGTTTGATGATAATGACTGTGGAAATTAGATAATGGGCAAACAACTGCTAGTAAAAAGAATTTTAACAGATTTTTGGTTATAAATAGTAGTTTTATCTCCTAAGATAAGTAACCATCTTGTTTTTTTAATGTTGAACGATTACAGCAGCTCTTCGGTGAGCAAATGTCAGCGATAAATAGATCAACTGATTCAAAGTTAGGTTTACTTATAAATTTGATTCGTAAGTATACGAAAGGTGGCAGCAAGAAGCCCACCGACTTTTAAATTAAAAAACTGTGAATATAACTACTCCTTAATGAGCAAGTGCATGTGATACGTATGAATCAAATGTCTTGTTGCTATAGATAATAATTGAATTTTCTTTTTGGCAAGCTTAAGCTTACCATGGATAGCCTTACTCCTTTTGTGTACTAAATGATAATGCGTTTAAAGCTTTTTTTGCAGTGCATTCCATTGTGTTAAATAGGAGCGCTACAAACTGAAAACATTTCTCATGCAGAATAATAATTACGTACAGTTTTACCTAAGCTCAGTATCTGTCTGAAAGTCACCTGTTCCTTGTTAGTAAGAACAAGCTTCAGTAGATGTTTCTACTGATGCTAGCTCACACTAGTTACCTTTGTGTTATTCAGACAAATAAATCAGTGGAGGACTATCCCTTACAAAAACATCGTGCAGAAAATTCTGCAAAAATTCTGCAAGTAACTCTGCAAGAACCTTCCAGGCGAATCTGCGATAATTCCTGCAGAGTTCATGTGCCAATTTCCTGCAAGATCCCTTGCAGGTTAATTTGCAGAAATTTCTGCAGACTGAGCAGTGCTCAATTTTCCAAAAGACAAATTAAATTGAGATTTAATTTACTATGAGTAAATCAGCCGTAAGGCGTAGTTATTTAGATAACACAAAAACCAGGGAGTTAAAGTGTAATTAAAAATTTTTTTAAGAAATGTTAACTAGAGAAATTTGTTTCATGTTTTATGCTAGGCAGGTGTGTCTGTAAGGTGACTGGTGGGTGTAGCTTGATCCTATAGTCAGCAGTGCTCATGGTGTATGTTAGCAGCTAGGACTTATCTATTAAATGCAAACAAAAATTTATATACATATACGTATCTTCCTTTATTATGTTGTTGTAAGTGTGGGGCTTACTGCACTACCCCCACCCTCTCCAGCACCTCTACCCCCTCCCCCCATAACCCCCCTTCAAAATAAGGAAAAATTTGATGACAGGCAATGATATTTGAACTCAACAAAATAGTAGTCGAAGACTTACTAAGCCTACTCCCTAGCCACCCCGTTGCCTCCACATACAATTTTAAAACCCTCCATAACCCCTACGCAGTGCCCCCATCGTTCCCTCACAAAATAAAGAAATATAACGTTAGTTATACCGTTATTTTGACCTATTAGAAATCTGTTTTTTCTGTAATCCTTCCAAGCCCCTGCCACCCCCCTGCACTTTTAAAAGTGCCACTCCCCCATCCCCCATATTAAACATACTTTTGTTTTCGTTTGTGACAGTCATAAAAGAGTAAATACCACCTTCTCAAAAAATATGAAATTTGTGAAATAACAATGACACAAGTAACTTGACGACAGAGCATTTAATTTATGGCCACTTTCTTTTTTTAAGGTTTATTAATTATCATAGCAAATGCCAAGTTTAAAAGAAATTTCTTTCTGTAGTATAAAAGGTATAAAAGGTATAAAAGGTAATGATAAGGCTTTATCTGTATTGGAGGTGATTTACAGTATACATACTTTTTTTTTAAGTTTTACTTCTGTGATAATTTTAGCTTCAATATTATATTCGAATGATTTTATAATTTCTATGTGTGGGCCAGTGCACAAACCGTCTGCTAAAAAATTTTTAATTAAAATGACTATTGCTCTTAGTTTTGAATTTACTTTATACGGTGGTAAATCATCAAGAATATTGTTCATTATTTTGAAAGAAAAATTTCTAGAAATGTTATTATCCTATTTATCAACACCTTTCTACACGGCATGATATATGCTATAATGATTTGTTGCAATTTCTTTTATTAGATTTAAGACCTTGTTTCTTTTTAAAATAGGGTATATATTGTGAAAAGTCAGGATAACACTAACAAATGAAGATTGGAAAGTTGTGGTAAACATTTCAAGAAACATTTTTTTTTTTTATATATTATAGTGCTCTACGTCCGGCTCCTTTAATAAGGGCACTTCTATGGGCACTTAGCACTTGGGAAAAGGACAAGGAAAGGGATGGGAGGCCTCCCATTACTGGGAGGGGGTAGGGGAAAATTAGGCAATTTTCGCTGCGAGAAGGTTGCCTAGACCCTTCTCGAGGAGCATTGTGTGGTGAAAAAGCACATGTGAGACTCACAGAGGTACTTGCCCGAAAGTCGCACTGGCCGGGAATCGAACCACGGTCTTCCACGTGCCCGCGTGCCAATCCACGACCTAGCTGACCAAGCCACCGCGCGCTCATTTAAACATACATCATTGACTTTCCATTTTTCAGAAATTATCAGTGACATTAATTTTTCCTCTACATTTTTTAAAAGCAATTTTTAAAAATTTCTATCAACTAAACAAATATTTCTACTAAATTTTAAAATATAAAAAGAACCTAAAACAAATAATTACTTCAACATTTTTTGTGTAACCATACTTTTATGACTATACTCTTATCTTATTTTTTTCAGATTTAATTTTAAAAAATGTGGGCTCCATATTACTCAAGTCCA